ATGTATGTGCTCACATTTCACTCAGTGCTATTCCGTGTCATCTTATTCTACTCCGTGTGATACACGTTGATCTCGTTCCCCTTCCGCGTTATTCCGTGTCATCTTATTCTACTCCCGTGTGATACACGTTGATCTCGTCCTCCGCCTTATTCCGTCCTCGTCTGCAATTCTACCCCGTGTGATATATTTTTATTTCATTCCACTCCGCCCTATTTCATCACAGCTCATTCTACTCTCATTCTACGTGTTTGTTTTTCAATCCTATCCCACTCTACTGGGCCGTATCATGTTGTCACTTGTATACCGTAAGACGGCCCCCATTTTAATTTCATTTACAACCATTGATTTAGCTAGTAATTGTATCCCCCGAACGAGTTCGGGGGGGATACTATTGAGATTTGGCTCGTCGCGCCGCCCCCCGGCCGCAGAGAATTTCCTTGTGAGCGCTCTAACCGGCTGCAGTTCTTATTCGGAATCATCTTCAAATTTTGCATGAAGGGCGTTATCGTAAAGCGCGAAGACGCCATCGTTTTTGGTGTGGGGCAGAGTCATCGTTTTGTCGATGGTAACAACATTTTTTGTCCGAAAATATTCCTAGAACCGTGTAACTTTCTGCAGTTTTTACCCGATTGTCAATGAATTTGGCAGCACAGCGCAAATATATTACATTAGATATATACAGGACATGTTATATCGGCCTTGTGTGCGCAAATTCCATGACAATTGGGTAAAAAACAGCAGCAAGTTACAGGTTCTAACAATATTTCCACAAAAATGTTGTTACTATGGCAACGAGACTCCGCCCCACCAAAAACGGTTGCGTCTCGCTTACCATAACGCACCTCATGGCCCACTGCCCTTGACCTTAGTTGATCCTTGACCGTCCGACTTACATTTCCTCTTGCGGCTTTCTCAGGGTAACGCAGATTCGCAATATACATTGCACATCTGAGCAGACGCCAGTTGTCTAACAAAACCTTTGGCCTTTGTGACTTTATGTTAACTTTACCTGCCTTCTTACGCTCCTTGACAGAGATATTCTCATTCCATACTAGATCACGGGGGATACATGTAGTTGGCGACAACTGCTCGTTTCTAGTTATCTTAGATTCAGGTGCCTCGTTTAGCGTATCTAATGAACAGTGGTGTCGATGATGTCAGAGTTATGGACTCAGGCCGTCATCCGCCTTTTCTGCCAATTGCACGCGTCCCTTGTAAGCATTAGTTACATGTCATATTCTCTCCCATTCTCTTTCTCTCTTCCCTTCCTTCCCTTTCTCACACATACTCTCTCTCACTCGTTCTCTCTCATCTTGCTCTTCATCTCGCTGTCTCTGTCTCTCGTTCTCCCTCCCCTCCCTACCACTCTTCTCACTCCCCTTTCTCTCTCTCTCTGTCTCTGTTGCTCTCTCTCGTTCTCTCTATTACTATCTCTCTCCCGCTTTCCATCTCTATGCCTTTCTCTCACTCTCTTGCTATGCTGGTTCGGGAATGAATAATCGGTTCCCTATATCCATATATAAATAACGGGGTAAATATCTCTAATATACGCGCATACGTATGTATCGTGAGAACATGTTTTTCGACTGAGTAGAGTAAGTATTGCGGTGTCGCCTCGTACTGAACCAAATACCTTCAAAGGATAACGTCGCTATAAGTTGAATTAAAGGTAGTTTCCGTCCGTATATGATAACGGTTGGGTGTGAAAAGGCGCTTTCACGTGTTTGTGTTTGAAGAGGTGAAAAGCTGGGTCAAACTTTCTTTAGCACGCTGACGCTTAAACTGTGTTGTGATCTCTCAGTATGCTCGTGCTTGATGAATAAATGAAATCTAACACGAATCTTTACGCTTTGAGCAATATGATCAGTAACTGGATTCAACCAGTGCGGTTAAAGCAAACAACTTTCTAGTAGGGTTTCAGACGCGATAGATTTCAAGACCCTATAATGCGGAGCGTGTTGACGAGGTTATCTCATCTTCATCGATTCTAACGTTGAAACCCGCAAGCAGCAGCCTCGCACCCTATGTGCGTACGTGCTTCGGCTACCGGTAGATGGCAGTCTAGTAGTATAGTCATACGCGATTGACAGCAGCGATAACTTTAAAGCTGCTATGTCATCACGTCAAACAGCCGGCCTAAGCTTGTGTTTCTTACGTTGAAGCCCGAAAAAAAACCTGAACGTCAAGCGAAACGCGAGAGTCAATGTTTGCTTTGCCTCTTGCTAATTCTTTCCTCGCAAGAGTTCTGCCGGGCGTTGATTAATCGTGTTTTAAACTGGCAGTTTTACGTCATGAGCGGCGGACCGGACTTGCTGGTGGAATGATTCATGCCGTCTTAATCCACCGTCTCTACGTACGATGCTATCGCGGGCTAGCCTAAAAGCTCTGGTCTAAGCGGAACCGGAATGGACATGGGGCATATTTCAAAGATACGTGCTTGCTATCGTGTTTTTTTATTTCACTTGTGGCGCTGGCACAATATCAAAACCTCCCAACCTCTCTCTCCCACTCCCCCCCCCCTCTCTCTCTCTCTCTCTCTCCTCTCCCTCTCTCCCACTCTCTCTTTCTCTTTCTCTTTCTCTTTCTCTCGCTTTTTCTCTTTCTCTCTCTCTCTTTCTCTTTCAAACGCACACGCACACGTACACGCAAACGCACCCCCTCACAACACAAACACGCGCGCGCTAGCACGCACACGCACACACGCGTGCGCACACAGACCCACGCGCGCATCTACTCTCGCTAGATATTTGATCTCGCTCGCTGTCTCTCTCTCTCCCTCTCTCTCTCTCTCTCAGTCTCGTCTCTCTCTCTCTGTCTCTTCTCTCTCTCTCTCTCGTTTCTGCCTGCTCCCTCTCGTCTCTGCTCTCCCTCTTCCTCTCTCCTCTGTCTCTCTCTCTCCTCTCTCTCTCTCCTCTCTCTCTCCTCTCTCTCTCTCTCTCCCTCTCTCTCTCTATCTCTGTCTTTCTCGCTAGGTATTTGATCTCGCTCGCTGTCTCCATCTCTCCCTCCCGCTCCTCTCCCGCTCCTCTCTCGCTCCTCATTCTGTGCAAGACAACTGAATGGTGATCACAATGCGCTTCGATGTAGCATGTTCGATGCCTTGATAATGTAGCTTAAAGCAATGAAGTCTCGAGTTTTCTATGTTTCAAAAGGATTTGAGTAAGCCTTTCTATGTATAGGCGGTACTAATAGCATGTCGCGCTGCAGTTGGTTTATGACGCAATTAATTTCCGAACGATCGCACGACACGATTATGTACCGAAATTACCATGATTAAAAGTAGTTTAAACTTTTAGTTTGCCATTAGTCAAACGACAGACACGTAAATTTACCTATCACTCTGAATTTAGATGCGTTTTTGTTGTGTCGTCACATTTTATACTTGTCGAGTACCCCAGAATAAATTCTATACATACTTATTTCTCTGATATGCTGCCTACTTATTTCGTGTCATGATCAACTAATGTTGTTATGTTGTCATTTTCATGTGCACGCGTGTAAGCAACATATCTAATAGCGACTATCATTTACTAAGGATGGTTATTTTTGAATAATTAGGGGAGGGAATAAAGTAAAAACAGCGCGTAACATCAGAAAGACATTTTGTTACGAGCCTACACAAAGTATGGGCGTTGTTATGGAGGTGCGACATAAGTTGTTCTGGCACAGGCATTCGTCGTATCACCTCGACGTAACATGCCAGAAAAGGTTTCTGAGCGCGAAAGAAAGACAGACACAGAGAAACAGAGCAAGAGAGAAAGAAAGGAGAGAGCGCGCCCGAGATATGGAGAGAGATGGGGAGAGCGAGAAATGTCGAGATATCGAGAGAGAAGGTAGAGCGCGCGAGCGAGAGAGAGTTGGGGGGGGCACGACGAAAAGGAGAGAGAGAGAGAGAGGGGGGAGCGCGAGATGGGAAGAGAAGGTGAGAGAGAGAGGTATAGGGAGCACGGCCCGTGGACGTTCCTCATAATGACATTGTGATTGATGCTACTTGACGTGACGTATATATAAGATTATATATATATATATATATATATATATCATATATATATATATATATATTCTAGTGAAGTTTTATCTCCGCCACAAAAACAAAAACG